CCGACGGGCCCCTCCCAGCGGTCTCTTTAGCGTCGCCAGCCTGCTCGGTCCGTCTCGGCTGTGGTCCCCACTCTGCGTCTCGCTACGTGGAATGCCAGGGCCCTCCTGCAGGCGGGCGGCGACACGGCGCGCATCAAGAAGGCCTACATGTACAGACTTCGTCCCTGCTGCACCATCATTGCGCTCCAGGAGGTGCATCAGGACCACCGCCAGCTCGTCTCTTTCGTTTTGACCGTCGCGTCGGACATCTCCGTCTGCTCCAGCTTCTATGAGGACCCGTCGACAGATCAGATTCGTGGTGGGGCGGCTATATTGGTTCCTCTACCCGCGGGCTCCAACGGCGCGATGCCGACTGCAGCGCAGAGGGTGCTAATGCCTGAGCGTGCGCACGTAGTCACTATCTTGTCTCCTTCCCACTCCGTCGACATCTTCAACGTCCACAGCCACGAGCTCGCCCAGGCCGACGTCCGCTGTGCTGCTGAGGCGATCAAGGCCTCCAGACTTCGCGCGCAGGAGGCCCCAGACATGTACGCCACCTTCGCGCAGGGGGACTTCACTTTTGCCGTGCACGACGCGCTGTCGCTGGCGCCCCCTTCCGCCGCCGCCCGTCGTGGAGACGGACGGCATCGTGGGCAGGGGCCTCGCTGGCGGGAGGCGTTGTCGGTCCTCGCCGAGGTTGCGTGCGAAGATCCATCGCACTTCGAAAAATCCTCTGGGTCGTGCTCATCCATTGATCGTATATTCTGCTCTTTCTCGGGTTGGCAGATGTGTCAAATTCACTCGCAGGTCACCACGGCTGACACTCCCGAGTCGGTGTCCGGGCGCAGGATCTCCGATCATGCAGCAGTCTTTATCATCATGTCCTCTCGCGCGGCTCGCCTTCCCAATTCCAGGCCCATCCCGAAGCACCTATTCGGAGAAGCTGCGCTTCGGCGTCGTATGGAGGGCCTCTGCGGGGCCGTGCATTGGGGGTCTCTTTCGCCGCCAGTCAAGCTGGATAAACACAAGGGTCTCATGAAGATTGCCGCCGCTGAGACTAGGGATGCCTCATTTCGTCATCTCCTTCATCATCCGACCACGCTCGATCGCTCGCCAGGGCTTTCTGGCGCCAGGATCGCCGCCTCGCCGCCCGCCTTCTGGACTCGCATCCGCTATCGGGGGACTTCATCTCCATCGCGTCGGGGTTTGTCGAGCTTCGGCATCCTCCGTCTTTCCAGGCCTGGGTTGACCAGATTCAGAGTGAGGCTGCTGAATTCACGCGTAAGGAACTGGAATCACTACGTCCTCGGGGCGGGGATCGCTTTCAGACGCGGTGTCAGCTTCGGGCTCTTGAGCGACGGGCCCGCCTCTGGTCTCCTCTCAATCGGCGCATCTCCTTGTCTGGCGCGCTTGCAGCTGACGGGGGAGTTGTATCTGACCCAGCTGATCGCCTCCGCGAGCTCTCAGGCTACTGGGCCCCTGTTTTTTCGGAAGAAGCCGTGGGACGCCGCTGCCGCTGATGCCTATCTCCGACGTCACCGTCGTAGTGCTGACCATGTATCGTTGCCGCCGCCTTCGCGTGAGATGATCAATCGTGCCATTCGCTCTGCTCGTCACCCGGCTCCTGGTCCTGGCGCCCCCCCATACTCTGCGCGGGCGGCCTCGCCAGTCAGCATTGACATTATGTGGGAGGCTCTCGAGTGGATCCTTACGGGTCAGCAGCTCTTTGCCAGTTCAGGGGACACGATCCAGATTTTTCTTCCGAAGAACGTCATGGATGACGAGCTCAGGGACCGCGCGTGTATTCGCTCTCCTGACAAGGTTCGTGTCTTGGGACTTTGGAATTGCGACCTCAAGATCATCTCCGCGGTGGTCAACCATGCCACCCGCCCTGCGCTGCAGGCGCTGGCTCCTCCGTGCCAGCGCGGATTTGTTCCTGGTCGGAACTTCGGCGTCAACATTCTCGAGTTAGATGTATCGAGCAGGATCCTGTCCGTCAGGCCCCATGCCTCGCGGGACATCCCATCTTTGTTCTCCCTCGACTTCGGCCAGGCTTCCCCTCTCTCAACCAGGACTTCCGGATGCTCTGCCTCAGCCTCATGGGCCTCCCTGAGCCTCTCGTGCAGTTCGTCTCTTCCATCTACTCGTCGATCGAGGGGGTCACTTTGCACCTGGGGCACTTCGAGCACGTTTTCTGGATCCAAAGTGGCATCATCCAGGGCTGCCCCCTTTCTGGAACTCTATGCGCCCCGGGCACTACCGCTTTCCTGGTGGACCTGCCCGCGAAGATCGAAGGCCTCAGCTGGGCTTCATTCGTGCATGTGCTGGAGATATCGGAGGCGCCCTGCGTTATGTCCAGGCCCTGTCCCTGGTCTCCCAAGTCATGTCCTGTGCGTCGGGGATGGCTAACTTGGACCTGACAGTCGCGAAGTGCAAGCTGTTCCCTTTACCGGGGCCCTTCTCTGAGGCGCTGGCTATGGACGTTCGGAACTCGATCGAGCGGTTCGCTCCTGAGTGGGCTGACTTCGAGATCATCTCTCAGCTTCTCTACCTCGGCCTCTGGTTGGGCCCTGCGGTTGGCCCGTCGACGTCCTGGGCGGGTCCTCTGTCGAAGCTTCGTTTACGGGCTCAAGCGATCGGGCACGGCGCTACCCCCGCCAGTCATTCGGCCATTCTCTGCAACGCGCGGGCCGTGACCACCCGATCGCGCGTCGCGCAGTTCTGCTGGCCGCCCGCGGCCATTCTGCAGCCAGAGCTATCGGTGCTGGCGCAGGTCTTCAGGCTGCCGCTCGGCGCGCTGCATCTGGACGCCTGTGTCCAGCTCGATCGCTGGGGCGGCCCGCGCTGCATCCGCTGGGGGCACCTCGCTACGGCCGCCGTCACGCGCGCGGCTACGCTCACTTTTCCACGCTGGCGCCCGCTGCTGGCAGGACTTCGGGCGCACGCTGCTGACCGCCCCGACTGGTGCACGCTGGACATGCTCGCCACGGGCCTCCCCTACCCCAACTTCTGGAAGGCGCCGGCGTTCGTCGAGAACCTGGAGGCCGCTGCCACCGGCCGCCCGCCGCCTGGCCCGCTGACCGTGTGTGGCCGCGCCCCGCTGGCCGCTGCGCTGGGCGCGCTGGATGTCGTCGGCCGCTCGCGCCCTCGGCCACCACGCGCTGCACATGCAGCCCTTCGTGAGGCTTCTCTCGCTGCTCGTCCCCTTCGCGCCCTCTTTACTTCGCGGCTTGCCAAGATCGCTGGTCGGCACGCCCCGAGTCTGCGCAACGTCGACTGGGACGCCTGCCAGTCGGTCCTTCGGCGGCGTCCTTGCTCGTGGGCGTGGGCTGTGATCCGCTCGTGGACTGATGGATGGATGACTTCTGCCCGCATCATGTCGCCGCGTGGTCGGCGAGCATGCGTTTTCGGCTGCCTGAATGGGGGCGACACTCTTAGGCATTACGCGCGTTGCCCCGTCCTATGCATGGCCCTGCGTCGTGCACTAGCGCGACCATTCGCTCTGGACTTCCCGACCAGATGGGGGCTGCGTCGCCCCTCCTGTCACGCCCACTCTGCGCTGCCGGCCGCCTACAACATGTGCAATGAGGCCCGCGCGATCGACCCGTGGCTGCTGTCGCCAGCCGCTACTCGCAGTTGTGCATTGTCAGGTGTGCGGGCGATGATGCTCGCCTCGCCGCAGGCTCTCTCGGCGACTGAGAGGGCGCAGTTGGGCCGCAGGGACTACCGCATTCGGTTGTCCTCGTCGAGCACTTCGGCTTCGAGCGATTCTGGGTCATCGGTGCCGAGGCTCACGCCTGCTGTCTCGAGCCCGAGTACGACACCACCCTCTTCGCCGCGGCCGCAAGCGGTGCCGCCTTCGCCGCGGCCGACGCCCCCACCCTCGCCACCCGCCTCATCGGATTCGTCCTCGCCCTCGTCTTCCGAGGCCTGTGCCGACAGCGAGAGCACGCCTCGCGCTCGCTCGGGATCAGACGCCAGCCCGAGTGACGAGATCCCATACCACTCCCTTCGGCTTCCACCCAGAGCGGAGGACTTCCTCATCGTTCGCTTCGATTCCCCGCGGGAGGTGGCTGAGCACGTCATCCCATCACATCGGACCTTGACCACGTTCCCACGGACGCCCATGGCTCAGGCCCCGCCTACGACCCAACCGGCAGTGCGATCGACCGCCAGGGTGCCGACTACGCCGTCTCGCTGGGCTCGCGTGCCTCCCTCGGCTCCAGCGGCATGCAGTCCATCGTTTTCGGCGGCCTCCTGTGCCCCAGTTTCTTCGCCTGCGCCACTTTCGCGGTCCTCTACGGCTCAGAGGGTGCCCCCTTCGTCATCAGCGTCATGGGGTGTTTCGCGATTGGCGGCTTCCAGTCCTCCAGCGTCACTGCCTTCGCCGATTTCGTGCATGTCGGGATCTCCGCTGGCGCCGCCTCCGACTTCGGCGTCTGGACGCACCGCCTCCTCGCCACCCCCAACGGGCGTCAGAGCGCAAGTCCCGTTGTCGTGTTCGGGCTCGCCGTCGCCACGATTGGGGCGCCTCGACTCGAGCCCTCTGGGCTTTGGCGTTAGATCGCAAGTCCCGTTGTCGTGGTCGGGCTTCACGTCGCCACGTCTCGGATGCCTCGAGGACAAAGCCCTGTCCTGTTCGATTCCTTCTTTGGGTGCCTTTATTAAACGGCCTCACTTGTCGGGTGGTTATTATGGAGGGGGACTTTTGCCTTATAATATCGGGTTCCATATCCGAGCTCCATGTCGGGCCCGATCTTTCTGCGTCATTCTTCGAGCTGGATCGATCTGTGAGGGTCCCAGGACCCGAAATTGAGCGAAAGCGCCCGCTATGAAGAAATTGCAACGCCAGGATCTCAGGGACCGGCGATGCGCATCCGCGATGCGCATCCGCGGTGCGGCGCGATCCTCCGACCCCGTCCACTCCGGCCCCATCCGAGAGGCCTCCCTGGCGGTGCGCGAGGGGTCCTCCTTGTCCCTGGACGCCACCCCCCCAGCTTCGGGCGCGCACCTCTCTCGAGGAGCAGCCCGGCGCGGCCGCCGCCGTGCTCCAGCGCGCGGAGGAGGAGCGGGCGAGGCTCGCCGTGAATCCAGGCCTCCTAGATGGGGTCGGAGGATCGCGCCGCATCGCCGATGCATCGCCGATACGGCTCGATGCGGAGCCCGACGTGCTTCACGTCGACGTCGCCGATGCATCGCCCACGTCGCCGATGCATCGGCGATGCGGCGCGATCCTCCGACCCCATCTACTCCGACCCCCCATCTAGGAGGCCTCTAGTGAAGCAAGCCGGGCCCTGACCCAGGCTCTGGGTTGGTAAGGCTTCGGTCTGCGCGCAGACAGCCCCCGACGAGTCCCAGCTGGCCTCAACAGGCCTCCCGACGAGTCCAGGGCGGTCTCAACACCCTGGCGCCACCTCTGGCGGCGCCCCTGAGGCGCTCCGCGCCCCAGGGCTGGGGTGTTGAGACGGCCCCACAGTGTTCGTGAGGCGTGTTGAGGTCAGTTGGGACTACCTGGGGGGACTGGACTGTCCCAGCAAACCCAAAATAATTGGGGTTCCCTAGGTTGTTAAAAGGATGTCCCAAGTGTCGCCATTTCGGGCTCCCGACGGCCCAAGACGGGCCCCGGAGGTCTTCAAGATAGCGCCAAGACGGCCCAAGAGGCCACCAAGATGGGGTCGGGGTGGATGGGATCGGAGGATCGTGCGCCAAGACGGTCCAAGAAGCCTCCGAGATGGGGTCGGCATGGACGGGATCGTAGAATCGATGCAGCTCGATGTGGAGCCCGACGTTCTCCATGCCAGTGCTCCAGTTGACCCAAAAGGGGGTCCAGCGACAAGGGGGTGGTGCAATAGATTTGATGCAATAGATTTGTGGGGTTGCGATACAGTTGGGGCGTGCAATACATTCCAGGGCGCACATGTATTGCCTGATTCTCGCGTGCAATACATTATTTGCAATACAGTGCAATACAATTCTCCGGTGCAGTACATTTGCAATACGATTGCCCCAAATATATTGCACCACCCCGTTGCAGCTGGACCCCGTTTTGGGTCGCCCAGATGCATCGGCGACGTCGCCGAAGTATCGCTGGCACATCGGCGATGCGGCGTGATCCTCCGATCCCATATACGCTCTGACGCCATCTGGGAGGCCTCTGCAGACCCCCCCGTCGCGTCGTGAGCAACAGTGCGACGGACGGCTATTCCTCCTCCTCCTCCTCCTCCTCCTCCTCCTCCTCCTCCACAGGATCACGGATTCGCCCCCCACCGACGCAAGGAGGGAGCTCTGCTGGCGACTCAGGTGTTGGCGTGGCGCCTGAGGCAGTCGGGCTGGTCGTGGGTGGCAACACAAGGACATGGCGAACGCCTTCGGCAGCGTGTCCTGGGACAGGTTCGATGAGGTCATCCTAGACGAGGGCTTGGTGGAGCCGCAGAACCAGACGCTCTGCCGCGACAGGCACCGCCTGTCAGTCGTGGAGGTGGACACGAGCGACGGGGTCCTCTTCTTGAAGACGGGCGAGGGCGGCCTCATGGGGGACCCGTTCCTGGTGCAGGCGTTCGCGGCGGCCTTTGTCGCCCCCGTTGACAAGTGGTCCCAGCGACTGACGCTGGAGGGGATCACGGGACCGCTGCACGGGGGCTTTGAGGACTTCACCATCGACGTCTCGCTGTCCAAGTACGCCGATGACCTGTACCGCGTCATACCCCTGGAGGTCGGTTGCGACATGGACGAGGCCCTCAGGAGGATGAAGGGCAGCGACGACATCCTGGACGAGTGCCTCATGCAGTATGGGATGGCGCAGAAACGCGACAAGCAGGTGGCGCGCTTCATGATCCAGGGGACGGGCTCGCAGCAGTGCAAGCGGTGGCTCCAGCATGCCATCGCACGGGGCCGAGTCGACGGACGAGTTGAGGAGGCGACAAGGTACCTGGGGCCGATCGTCACTCAGGACGCCTCGGCGGCCATCGAGGTGGAGCGTAGGCTTAGGATGGCGGCTGCCCGTGCCGCCTTCTATGCCATGGCAGGCTTTTGGTCTGCCAGCACGCCGCGACGCTGGCGGCGCACGGTACTGATCGGTCAAGTGCAAAACACCCTCCTGTCGGCACTTGAGGTTTTTTGTTCAGCCCCCGTCAACACTCGCTCCTGGGCCACTGTCTCGCCTCCCTCTGTAAGAATGCTACGCACGGTGCCGCATGCGAACGCAACGAACAAGGGGAGGTCACTGCCCGCATGTGTTCTCTAGAGATCTTGGCCTCCTGGGAATTAGTGCCGCGCGAAATGGAGCTCCGAATCCGTAGGCTTGGCTGGTATCAATCTTGGGCCTCTCGGACTCGGGTGCACGCGCATGTTCTAGCAATGCTCCTTGGGGCCCTGGTTTTGAACCTGCAGAAAATCGGCCGTGTACAGAGGATGGCCTTAGTCAGTTTGCGAGTCCCTGGGCCGAACGCATCCAGGACGACGTTAGAGCCGCGATCGAGGTCATGCCCGATGACAGGGATGTGCTTTTGCGTGTCGCGGACCGTCCCTGGCTCCTTATCGAGGATAAAGAATTATCTGAGGATTTCTTTCGCCTGGATTTCAGACGTCTGCGTAGTCACCATTTCACGGCCACGATTGCGCCCCTTGGCCCATTTCGCGGTGTCTCTGACCTTGGGGCCCCTGGCGGGCTCGACTCCCCCTCCGATTTTGTTGCCCCGTACGTGTGTTCCCGGGCGAAAGGGGAGGGGGCGCAATGTGGCGATTCTTTCTGCGCGAAGCGGGGACTCACTGAGCACTTGAGGCACAAGCGCGGCGTTTATAATTTAGCTGCTCTGCTTTGCCCGTCCAATGAATGTATTGTGTGTAGGAAGATTTTCTGGAGTAGGCAAATGGCCTATCGACACCTCGAGGGTTCGATCTTTAGGGGGCACTGTGGAACGAGAGGGCCGAGTGCGATTGCGACCAGAGTTGAACCGAGGGGTCTTGGGTGCCGCATTTGCTCGTACGAGTCGGCCGACTACGGCGACCTCTGTTGCCATCTTCGGGCTCGCCTTCCCTGGTCGGTTTCTTCGGGGGCGTGTTTCCTCGCGCGACAGCGTCTCCGCCATGACCTCGGACGTGGCGACGCCCCCCTGGATGGCGAGGGCGGCCTCGCCCCCTGCATCGGCGCCGCGCCCGAAGCGGGGCAAGGCAGGCAACCGCAAGGCGAAGGCCGACCCGCTGCTGGTCATCATCGCGAAGCTCGCCCTCGCCACGGCCCGACAGGCGGCGCAGCTCGAGAGCGCGTGCTGCACCACGATGTTCATCAGCGAGGCCGAGGGCAGTCTCGGGCAGGTGCGCCGCAAGAGCGGCATCGACTACGACGGCGAGAGCAAGAGGCTCCGCGAGAAGGCCGCGGGCGGCGAGTCGGTCGACTTCAAGGCCCGCGGGCCGCCTCACGTCCACCTCTTCGGCGCCATCATCAAGCGCAGCATGGAGATCGCGGCGCCGGGGGGGGGGGGGGCTCCGAACGCAGACGGGCGCAAGATCTTCCTCGAGTACTGGAAGCAGGTCATCGCCGCCAAGGAGCCCCAGGATATCGCGGAGCAGGTCTTCCACTGCAAGTGCCGCAAGGCGAGGGCCACGGGAGAGGAAGCCACGGGGGTCCTCTCGTTCGTGCTGAACTCGAGGGTGCCGACCGCCAACTCTTTGCACCCGATCCTAGTGGACTACCTCGCGAAGGTGGAGAAGGTTGGGGCGGTGCACGGCCCAGCGCCGAGGGGCCCCTTGGAGCGAGAGGCAATCAGTTTGCTCCAGGTCCTCAATCAGCTCTAATGGCCAGCAACGAGAGGCTGGCATCTTTGATTGCGAGGGGTACTGTCAGCCCCGCAGTTTTGATCCTCGACGAGAGCGGCGACGGTGCATGCATCACCGCTCATGCCCACGTCCGCCGTGCAAGTGCTGAGTCCGACCCGCCGAGCATGCAGAGGGAAGGGGGCGGGTGGCGGGAGGGGCGCTGCTTCGAGCCAGTCTCTGTCCGCCGCCCCTGCACCCAACTTTTTAAGGCGTTCCTCGGGTAGTGCCCACCGACCCCCAGCACGGGTGGTTAGTTCCTCGAGGGAGGTCGGGGCGGCGTTCGCCAGCAATAGAAGCACTCACGGGGATCGGCTCGAGGATGGGACGGGTGGGGCGTTGGAGGGCGGGGGGTCGGGAGTGACGGATCCGCGAGCTGGTCCCCTTGAGGGGGGCACCCGCCAGGCTGCGCGCCATTCGGCGGGCCGCTCCCTGGGGCCGTGCGGGCGGAGCCCGACTGGCCATGGTGGCCACCAAGGTTGACTAGTCCTAATTTCGATTGTCGCGAAGCGACGCCCAGGTGCGAGGCTGATTCGAGACTTCCATCTAGCCGCACCCAAGGGTTCCGAGCCTCCTCCTCCTCCTCCTCCTCCTCCTCCTCCTCCTCCTCCTCCTCCTCCTCCTCCTCCTCCTCCTCCTCCCCCTCCGCCCTCCTCCTCCTCCTCCGCCCTCCTCCTCCTCCGCCCCCCTCCTCCTCCTCATCCTCCTTCTCCTCCTCCTCCTCCTCCAGTTTTCGGCCTCTGCGGGCCTTCGCCTGGAGCCCGGGCCGTCAAAAAATTGGCCCAGGATGGAGAGCCAGCTCCCGGTGAAGCGGGCGAGATCTCTGGGAGTTCGAGGCTGCGAACAAGAATCGCGGCACCGGGGTTCTGGGGAGGGAGGCGGGTCCTGAGGTTTTCTCCTTTTGGAGGGGCCTTCCCGGGGCCCTCCACAGGCCCCAGGGTTGTGAGGAAGCGACTCGCGACGCGAAAGGCGGGTTCTGCCCCCCTTGAGAAAGTCTTGCCCTTGTTCATCATCCGGGGGCCCACGCTATCTGGCACCTAGCCCAAGAGGATCTGGCACCTAGGACTCAAGCCTCATAGGGTCGTCGCCCACCATAGGGCCCTCGCCACAGGAAGCGCCATAGTCCACGCCTACAAGGCGCCCGTAAGGTCCTGGGCCATAAGGCTCCTCGCCCAGGGAGTCCTCGCCCAGGGGGCTTCCTTGGGGGCAGTCTTCATTCCAGGCCCGTTTCTGACGGTCCTGGGGCCCGAGAGCGGCCCCCAGAGGCCGAAACCAATGAGAAAAACCGAAGGCGACGAGAACAAACAGGTATACGATTAAAAGGAAGGCGCTTCTCTCTGTTATCGAAGACGCCTGCGGCGAATCACCGCCGCCCCCTGCCTTCTGGAATCGCCCATGTGACCGAGCGTTGTGGCAAGAGCTTTGCCAAGCTATCGGGCCATGTGTTCCCCTAGCCGTTGTGGAAACCCTTCGGGGAACACTTGAGGGAGGATGGCGGGGAAGACCCGGAGAAAAAATAGGAGGAACTCCAGGAGCAGGAGGAGGATGAGGGGGCATCTTGGTAGCATCTGGGGGCACTCTTGGGCTCCTGGGAGCTTCCGGGAAGCCTCTTGGAGGCATCTTTGGTTTCTCCTTGGGCCTCCCAAGGCCCTTTAGAGGCTTCTCAGGGGCCTCTTTGGCCGTCTTGGGGCATTCCTTGCCCGTCTCACGCCGTCGGAGGCCGTCTTGGGGGCCTCTCGGGCCCTCGTGGGGTGCTCCAAGGGTGTCTTGGAGGCCATCTTGGGCGTCTTGGGGGCTCTTGGCCCGTCTTGGGGCCCTGTTGGGGCCGTCTCGGGGGCCTACCGGGCCGTCCTGGGGCCATCTTGGAGGCTTCTTGGGCGATCTTGCGGCGATCTTTGGTGGCTCCTGGGCCGTCTCGGGCTGTCGCAAGACCGAAAAGAGACAAACGCGAAAATCTTGCAGAAACCAAAGGAGCATCAATGATTTGGGCCTCCTCGGGTCTTCCTGGAGGCACTCTTGGAGGCCTCTTGGGCTGTCTTGGAGACCTCTTGGGGACCTCTTGGGCAGTCTTGGGCCGTCTCGGAGTCATCTTGGCCCGTCGTCAAGGCTTCTTGGGCGGACTTGGAGGCATCTTGGACCTTTTTGGGCAGTCTCGGAGGCCATCTTGGACCATTTTGGGCGAACCTGGAGGCCATCTTTGCCGTCTTGGAGGCCATCTTTGAGTCATCTGGAGCGGGACATATATTTGCAACCGCCTCTGGGCAAGCCTTCCAGGTGGCCAGCGCGCTGGGCCAAAGCTCCATCCTGAAGTCTGGCACGCTAGGCACCCCTATGGCAGGCCAGCAGAGAGCGGCGGATCGAATGGCCTTCGGCCCATTTCGCCACCGTGCCTGGGTTTTGGGTCAGAGTCCTCAGGGATACTTCGTGGGGTCTCTTCGGAGCGCTGTCGGGGGCCTCAGTGGGCCAATTTTGGGGCCTCTTCGGAGCCTGTAGAGGGCTTCTTGGGAGCCTCTTGGGAGCCTGTGGAAGGGCTTCTTTGGAGCCTCTTGGGGTCTTCTTGGAGCTTCCTGGGGGCCTTGTGGGGGTCTCTTGGGGCCTTGGGGGCCCTTTGGGCGTCTTGGAGGCGGCTTGGGCCGTCGTGTGGGCCCTCTTGTGCCGTTTTGGGGCCTTCTTGGAGGCCTCTTCGGATATCTTCGGGCGGTATGGGAGGCCTCTTGGCCCGAATTGGAGCGTCGGGGAGCCGAAACGGCGAGAACGCCAAAATCATGTAACAACTTATGGAAGTGTTTTGCCTCTTGGGGCCCCCTTAGGAGTGCTCTTCGAGCCCCATTGGAGCTTCGTGAGTCGTGAGGGCCTTTTCGGCCGCATTGAGGCCATCTTGGGCGCCTGGGAACCATCATGAGGCGACCCGAGTGCCTCTTCGACCATCTGGGCGGCCTCCAGGGGCTTTCTTGGCCCGCGTTGGGCCCCTGCTGGCCCCCATGCAGAAGACGCACGCGACGCACCCAGGGAACTCTGGGCCCCGGCGGCGCCTGCGAATAACAACCCGACAATATCTCTACCTCCCAGGGCAGCATGAGCCTTGAGGCACTCACGGTGACGGATTCCTCTGGCCATGATTGCCGTTACCCGGGCGGGGGGGCCAGTATTGTCACATGTCCCGTTGGCGCCGTCTGGGAATGTCAACGGAACCAGAGACACTCGAGGTCAGCACGAATCGTACGCTACTTGGGGGGGAGGGTGGGGGAGGGGGGCGGGCGGGGCCGCTATCAGCCGCTACCGTGGCAAAAGTCAGGAGGGGAACAACAACAGACACAACGAATCGCTGGGCCCCATGACAAGATTGGCAATCTGGGAAGTGGAGGGGGGGACGAACATCCAGGAACCACAGAAGATGTGGGGGGCCCTGGGATTTGAGTCTATTTATCTCTGCGTCCCTGGGCCCTTTCAAGAAGAGTGCCCTCATCTTGCGTGACGTCTCCAGGGCCCTGTGGGGGGGGGGTTTTGCCCAGGACCCGTGGCCCTCGGGGCCCGTCCGCGTCACGCCCCGGGAGGTCGCCGCTCGTGCAGCTGCTCGGCCTGGAGGGCGGGCTCAGGACCGAAGACGGAAGAGTGGCAGGGGCATGCTCCACAGGGGAGACCCATGCCAAGAAGCACCCTGCTTGCCTCCAGGGTGCCCTGGGTTTCGTGGGTTTCGATGGTTCTGCGATGGCAAACGCGGCGTGTCCACACCAAAAATCAACGGACGTCCTGGGGTCTCAGGGTTGGTTTTCTCGTGGAAGGTTTCTTGTGGTCGAGCTCCTACGGTACAGTCGGTCGGTCGGTCGAATTGCTCGCTTCGCGCCCCCGCGGGCAGCAACGGGGGCCCAGGGTGCTGCCCCGCGGCGGTTGTCCCGTGGTTGTGATTGTTTTTGTTCCATGCGGCTGTTTCGAGATTGTCACTTGCTCTTGTCCAGGTGATCGTTTTCTTATTCATTGCTTTGCCGATCGGCGCGGTCCCTCGCACCGCCCCTCCCCCCACCCATGGAGTGGATCTGGGCTGTTTGGGGTCTTCCCCATGGGACGAATTGCTGCAAACAGTGGCATGAAGCATGGGTTCGGAGCCAGACCCCCCTCTCCCACCCCCCCATTAGGCCCAATGTCGAAGCGCCGAATAAGAAGACGTTCGCCAGTTTCAGTCGAGCATTTGATCAAGAAAGCTCCGTCCGAACAGCAGGGGCCAGCGTATCTCAGCCGACTTGCTGGCAGACTGGCCCCCGTTTCTTGGGCGCGGTCGCCCTTCCAGCACGAACATGTGCCCCGGGCTTGTCCCAAGACACTTTCGGAACGCTGGCCCAGGCTTGTTGCGTGAGGAGCTTCTCGATCAGATGTGTGGTGGATCGAGCTCGGTCAGTAGGTCTCCCCATACCAAATCAAGAGTGCACTCGTGTCCTGTGTTTCGCGACCCATGCCCACTCTACATTCATATGGCAGCGTGACCTTCAGCAGCTGCCTCTGGCAGGTCCGCCGCCGTGCCGAGGCCCGGGGGCACAGGGGAGCGTGCCTCAAGGCGCCCACGGGGAACGGGCTTTGGGGCGCCCAACGACCTTTTCCTCCTCCTCCTCCTTCTCCTCCTCCTCCTCCTCCTCCTCCTCCTCCTCCTCCTCCCTCCTCCTCCCTCCTCCTCCTCCTCCTCCTCCTCCTCCTCCTCCTCCTCCTCCTCCTCCTCCTCGACTGTAGGATGTTGGAGCCGGCCCGGGGGTCGGAGGTGGCCCACGGCGCTGCCTCCGGCCAGCAGGAAGGGGGGAAGGTTCGAGGTGCCGGGCTCGGGAGGGTGCTTTGCAGTCTGAAGTCGGGCCTGTCCCTCTACAGGATATTGAAAAACAGTCCAGAAATAGCATGTATATTTTTATTTGACTATTTCTGAGTTTTTCAAACATTTTCTGAGTATTTCTGAGTATTTCAAACATTTTCTGGGTTTTCCACATGTTTGACTATTTCTGGGTATTTTCAAACATTTCTCCTCCAAAATCCCCCTGTATGGGGGACAGGCCCGACCTATAAGTGCAGTCTCGCGGGGCCGTCTGCCGGTCCCACGAGACCGCGAAAAGTGGCTCCGGGGTGAAACACTGCACCAGATGGACCCCGCCGGGAGGGATCTGGGGACGGATTTGGAGCGGATTTGGCATCATATCCCCCTCCCTTTGGCTTCTGTACCGCGTTCCAATCCCACCATTGCGCAGAAATTAAACTTTTCAAGCCGCGCCAGTTAGCACTGCCGCACAACCAAGCATCTCTACGAAGCTTCTCTCCAACGCGAGGGGAGGAACAGAATAACGAATTGAGAGAGCACGATGGTCTGCAATTTCGCTCAACACCTCGACTGCCGCAGACTCCCGGGACCGTTCTTCGGCGCGGCACGCCATCCACGTCCCAGTCCCAAGGCGTCGACGTCCCGAGCCCAACTCCGAGGCTCCCGCCCACGCGGTGGGGCGACGCGCTATATCAGCTCGCAGGGCACAGCGTGCCGCCGGGGCCGCCGCCGTGACACGCTACGGTAGGGTCGTGTCGTGTCGACCGGCGGCGACCCCGCCGCCGGCGTTCAACGTTGAACGCCGCCGGCGGCCCAGAATCGGTCGATGTTGAACGATTGGACGTTGCGGAAATGGCCGATCGTTCCAGGTTGAACGATCCCCGCGGTGTCAGGAACCAACGCCTGGGTCGACACGACACGAACCTGCCGTAATCAGGGACTATCGTCTTGGGGGCACGGCTACCAAATTTGCGCCGCCAAAATGAACCATTTTTGGGGGGGGGCCGTGGCTCAGTTTTCGCGGGATGTCTCCGGCCAAAGCGACGAAACCGTGCATTTTGGTAAATTTCTGCAGGTATTTTGGACATGGGGGTGCCGTATGTAATTTGTCCGATCCCTTTCCGGGAATAGATGTTTTTTTTTCGTTTTGGAAAATCCAGAACCGTTCTGTTTTGGGCGCGTTTCCAGGCTCATTTTTAGCAGCGGTGCCCTTGGAAATATCACCTAAGCAGAAGTTCCCGACCGCAGCTCCCGGGAGGTTCAGCTCAGAACCAGCGCTGGTAGATCCCTGGTAGAGCACAGGCCTCCTCCAGATTCATCCCAGCCCATCGGGCGCAATCCTGGCGAATCTCGCTGAATCCCGCTCGATCCTATTTAATATCGGGCCGAGCGAAAGGGGGGATAGGGAAAGGGGGGGTACGAAATCTGCTGCATGCAGCGGGCTTCGGCCCCACCGCCGGGCCCATTCCTCGATACATTGGCGCCTCCCAGCGCAGGGAGGCACTGGGAAATCAGCTACGTGAGCTGATTCTCTACACTACCCGTTGCTATCCCCCCCTTTTCGTTCCCCCCGATAATACTGGGCAGGGGCTGAAGCCAATTCAATCCCGGGCTTATCATCCGGCCTAGTCCGGCGTGGCCCACCCGGCGCAATCTTGGCTCTTCCGGCTTATTTCGGGGGCGCCACAAGAGGGGGGTGATGATTGCGGGGGGGTGGATAACTCATGGCCAGAGCCGTGATATCTCCCCAGATCTCATGGCCCCCCTTCTGATTTCAATGCGTCCCCTGCTGCCCCCCCCCCCTGGTCCGCGCACGTGCCTCGGGCCATGGTTTGCACCCCTCGTGGACGCCCCCCTTTCTCATCCCGCTGGCTCTTGCTTATCAGGAGGGGAAAGACCACACAGACACGAATCATCGTCGATTCCCAGAAAACGTGGGGAAATGCATGAAGTGAGGGGGAAGACGAAACCCCAGGAGATCTCGGGAGGCATGGGGGATCCTGGGATTTGTGTCCATTTGTGTGTGTCCCCGGGCCCCCTTCTGCACGAGGCGGTCGAAGCCAAGAGGCCGAGTCCGGCCCAAGCCGGCACGAAGGCGGCAGAGAGCAGCACGGGCACGCCTTCCGTGTGGTCGGCGCCGCGAGGGCGGACGGCGCGCGCCGATGCGCGCTCGAATAACTCGGGGCGGCGGGCCGCGCCGGAACCAGGGGTGCGGAAACACTGGAGAAGTCCAGGCCTCCCAGATGGGGTCGGAGTAGATTTCAGAGGAAGATTCAAAAATACGCAACAAGTAGTCAGGGGACGAGTCATTTTTCACGCGTTTTCCAAAATCCGCCTGTAGGAGGGCATGCCCGACCTAGGGTCCAGGCCTCCCAGATGGGGTCGGCACGGATGGTGCCGCAGGACTGCTCCGCATCGCCGATGCATCGAGGATGCAGCGCTCGATGTGGAGCCATATTTTCTCCACGCCGACGTCGTCGATGCATCGCTGGCGTCGCTGGTGCATCGCCAGTGCATCGCCGATGCATTGGCGATGTGTCGCCATCCTCCGAACCCATCCACTCGGACCCCATCTGGGAGGCCTCTAGGGAGAGGAGCGGCTGCGGAGGAGCGTGAGATCCTGGCGGTGCATCTTTTTCACAGCGGGCGTTTTCGCGCTCCATTTCGGGCCGCGGGACCCTCACAGATGGGTCCGGCGCGAAAGATGACGCAGCAAGATGGGGTCTGGGGCTCCAGTAGTGATGTGTTGCGATGTCGCATGTTTTGCTGCAGCGCCAGATCTCAGCGGGAGTGAGAAGCAGTTGGCAAAGCATGACTAACTCTTCTGACCTCCGCGCGGATTCCTTGGAGCGGCGCTCGGCCACGCTGGTAGCGCCTCTGGCGCCGCCCCTGGCGCACTCCGCGCGCCAGGGAGGGTTCACCGCAGTTCTAAGAAGCGCTGGAGAGGGCCCCAGTCGGGGGTTGCTAAAGGTGCCCCTGGCCCAAGGTGCCCCCAGCTGCTCGCTCCACTTTGGAACCCTTGGGGCCCTCTGGGCCTCGTGAGGGGTTCTTTGGGGGCATGCTTGAGATCCTGGGGGTACCTTGGGCCAGGGGCACTTCTAGCAACACCCGGCCAGGCGTAGGGAATCCCCGCCACTAGGAGTGCACTGGCGGCCTCAGGCACCGAAAACCGGTGCACGTAGGGCTGGCCCTAAGCCAGAGTGACTTTCGGGACTTGGTGCGCGGCTTCAAGGGCGCGCCGTGGGGGCCCAACGCAACCGCGCAAGCCAGTAATGCCGCGCTGCATCAACGATCGGTGGGACGTCACTGGAAAGACTTTTGGCGCCAGCGGGCAACCGCGGAAATCCGCTAATTGGATTCGAACGCCCCGCATGGCATTTCAAAGGCGCTGCGAAAGCAGGCGCTGCCAGGCGCCACCACGATGAGGTCTGGCGCTGCCAGGCCGCATCGCGATGACGTTTGGCCAGGTCTGGCGCCATGGTCAAAACCGGCCCCATCCGCGGGCCTGGAACATGTCTGAATATCTTTGAGCAGCTTGCATTGGTAAATATCCTCATTGGTTCAAAGAAGATATTCAAACATATTCAAAGATTTCCAAAGATATGCAAACCAGACGATTTGGGATTAGGGCTGGGATTCCGGACTGGTCCTGCGGCGGAAAAGGCGCCGTCTGGCCGACCGGCCCCCCCCCCCCGTGAAACCAATGCACACTGCAGGGTGCGTCGCGTATGCGTTGCCGTCGGTTGGATGGGGGGGGGCCTAAACTTGGCGCGCTCAGATGCGAACGCAATTGCGCGATGCGGGTGCCGACGCGAGGTCAAGCCCACTCCAAAAGAAAAACCATCCGACCCCTTGGGCCAGCGCCAAAGGTGACTCTTATGCGTACTCAGCTGCCGAGGGCAAGGGCAGCGCGATCGAAATGGAGATCCCGGTGGACGGCAAAATGGCACAGACATGCGTAATGACATGCGGGACGTTGAAATAAGGATTGTTCGGGGCCCAGGGGGGGGGGTCGGCCACGCGCAGAGGGGGGTAGGTCAGGGGCAACGATAGAGGGAGATCGGCGTAGGGGGTGATGCATCCACCCCCAATCGCCCATTGATCGCTGATAGGGACCCGATAGCCCCACCCCCCAGGAAGTTGCGGATTCGCTGTCAGGGGGCCTATCGCCGATCTATCGGCGATGTATCGCCGATTCCAGGTCGATGTATCCCCCCCCTATGCCTATCCCCCCTACCGTTGCCCCTCAGTAAGCGGAGGGGGGAAGGCTTCTTAGAGGCGCCGTCCTGCTTCCTGGAAGGCGCGGGCCTGGATCTGTAGACGTCGGGCCCTGCGCCTCCGAGCAGCGCCCTCCTGAGATGAAGTCTGGCCTGTCCCTCTACAGGAGGAAAATTTGACACTGTTGACAAATAGTCTGGGGACGACGTGTTATATTTTTTGTATGCTTGAAAGTTGTTTGGGTATTTTTCATTGTTCGTCCAACATCCGCCTGCAGGGGACACGCCCGACCTAATCCGAAGACGCGTTTCCCCCTCCTCCAACCCCCTTTCCCAGAGCCCCGACGCAATTGATTTTTCACGGCGCGACCCCCAGGAGGTCCCGACCCATTCCCCGGGTCCGGCTTCTCATCTTGAGAACCGTTTTGTTGACGGCCCCGAGGGCCGGCAAGGGCCCCCAGAGGCCGCAAGCAGCGAGAAACTTCCCGTCGTGAGTTTAACACAGCGCGAGGGGGTATGGCTTGTGCGCGCCGCCAAGGGGGGGGCAAACGATCTCTGGGCAGTAGTTCTTCCGAGCTAAGTCGGGGGGGGGGCCTGTTCGTGGCCGAGGCTCTCGCCGAGGCCAAAGAGGAGCCTCTCTCCGCTCCTGAAAAGTCGGCGCTCCCCTGTTCTACGCTTACGTCGGGCATTTCCCTCTACAGGAGGAGTGCTCAAGAATGGTAAAATTTTGCCTGGGGACGATTTTTTTTAGAGTTTTTGATAGTGTTGGGATTATGTTTTGGATCTGTTTTATTTTTCGTCCAACATCCGCCTATGGGGAGACATGCCCGACCTAATTCTAGTCCTCCCAGATGGGGTCCGAGTAGAGTAGATGGGGTCGGAGGATCGCGCCGCATCGCCGATGCATTGGCCGATGCGGCTCGGTGTCGGGCCAAATTCTTTCCACGCCGACGTCGCCGATGCATCGCCGACGCCGCCAGCGCGTTGCCGATGCATCGCCGATGCATCGCCGATGTGTCGGTGATGCGGCGAGATCCTCCGACCCCATCTGTTCTGACCCCATTCAGGAGGCCTCTACTTGTGGTAGCACGATGGCTCTGAGCTTTCGAAGGTCCGCGCGGATCTCCTGGACCAGCGCTGGACCCTCTGGCGGGGGCGATCCAAGGGATTCGCGCGGGCCTCGGGACGCATGTGTCTGTGCCGATGGGCTTTCGTTCAAGGGAGGAAAAACCAACGGACCCGACAAGTGGCGTTTACTAAACGGCCCTGGGCGTTTACTAAACAGCCCTGCCCTGTTGGATTCCGTATTTGGGTGCATTTACTAAACGACTTCGCGTGTCAGGTCGGTTATTATCGGGGTGGATGTTCTGCCGTCTATTCGTGTAGAGGAGGAACATGTTGCTGCTGACCGTGTGGCTGGCGGCTGGCACCCTGTTTTACTACACCCAGGGGTTCGAGGAGGTGCCTGGCAGCAGTGTGGCGACCTCGTTCTATTACGCCGTGCAGGCTGGCCTGAGCATCGGCTTCGGGATCCTCACGCCCACCTCCGAGGACTCCATGCTCTTCACCATTCGGCGGCGAGCGAGGGGGGGAGATGAGAAGGAGAAGGCCTTCTCAGAAGGCGGCGGGACTTCTCAGAAGTTTCTGCGTCTTCGGAAAAGGCTTGGAAAACTTCTCAGGAGGCCGGAGGTCTTCCGAGCCTTCTGAGAAGGCCCGCCCCTTCTCACTTCCCCCCCGCGCTCGCCGCCAAACCATCTGCTTTATCTTGATGGGCGCAGCCATCTGTGCCAACTTCTTGAGCTCGTTCGTGACGGAGGCCGTGTCGAGCCTGGAGAAGGGCAAGCTGGGCATCGTCATCCAGGAGAACCGCGAGCCGACGAGCACCTTCGGGCTCCTCCTGGCCGTCTGGTGGCTCGTGGGTACCCTGTTCGGCCACTTCCACGAGGGCTGGTCGTGGACTCGGTCGCTGTTCTTCGCCATCCGAGGAGCAAAGCAGTGCATAAACAAAACTTTCGGAGCTCCGCGCAGATGGCTCAGATCGGCACCGGACTCTCCTGGCGGCGGGCGGTGCCAGAGGCACCGCTAGGAACGCCAGGCGCCGGTGCAAAGAAGTCCGCGCGGAGCTCCAAAGGTTTGCGTGTGTGTGCCGTGCTTCGCCGCTCGAGCCCTCTCGGCCACCTCCACGTCGGGCATGCAGGGGCTGGACTCCACGGACGAGGCGTCGCTCCTGTTCTGCGCCCTCTACGCCCTCGTCGGCGTGCCCCTGTACGCGGCCGGCGTCGGCGCCCTGAGCTTCTCCATCGCCGAGAGGGTCATGGGCAGGCGGCGGGCGCAGCTGCGGGAGCGCGCGGCGAGGATGATGGAGGTCTGCGACGAGGAGTGCACCGTGGAGGTCTTCGGCATGTACGACTCGTCCGGGACCGGCAGGCTGAGTCCCGAGGACACGGTGTCGCTGATCAGGTTTCTGGGCAACTCCGCGGGCATGGTCGTGAGCGACGACGACATCGCCTACTTCATGAAGGAGTTCGACGAGGACGGGGGCGGTTCGATCGACAGGGAGGAGTTCCTGCACGGGATACGCCGATGGGTCACTGAGCTGCACGGTCAGCGCGCCGGGACGGGGTTCTAGACGCCGGGCAAACCGTTTCATCCCTGCGGCTGCCAGGGGCTTCCTCGGAGGCAGTCTCGCAGGGCGCTCGTTGAAAGTACGTCTTTGGGACTCGCGAGCCCTCGCATATCTGAAGCACGTTCCTCACACAAGAAGTGCTGGTTTCGCAGTTTCACCGCCCCTTGCCTGGGCGGGACGAAGCCCCAAGTTTGCTTTGAAAGCCTTTCTGTGTCATGTGGTTCGGCTAACTGCTGTCGAAAGGCCTGCAGTTTCTTCTGTCCACACGTGTAAAACCCTCCAGGGGCCCGTGCGCGGGCGACCCCCGCATTGCTGCACCCGTGCATCCGTGCGCATCTGTGAAGTCAAGGCGTGCGAAGGAGGTGTGCGATACTGCCTGGCAGCCTCGTTTCAAGTGGGCTGCTGCTCGCTGGCAGCCAAACTTTTTGCTTGCCACCAACGGTTCTCCGATAGCAGAGCCGAATCAACAAAAGCAATATGTGGACAGTCTCCCACCTTCCGGCGGCGAGCATGGGGGAGAAGCAGGAGAAAGCCTTTTCAGAAGGCGGCGGGACTTCTCAGAAGGCTTTGCGCCTGCTGAGAAGTGTTGCTGTGTCTTTGGGGAAGGCTAGGTAAACTTCTCAGAAGGCCAGATAAACTCCGAGCCTTCTAAGAAGGCTCGCCCCTTCTCATTCCCCCCCCCCTCGATCGCCACCGAACCCAGGCTACACCCTCGAACTTGGCCAGCGACAAACTGTTCGGTGAGAACCTCCCCTTGCTGGGCTCGGCACCTCCTGATACTAGCCAGCGCAGGCTACAAATAGATCAGCAAATAGAAGTGAAGGGGACTGGAGCGGACTGAAGCAGGCTGCACCAGAGTAAATTGGATTGGATTGCTACTCCACTCGATCATATTCGACATGAGTCCACTGTACCATCTACCTACTCTGCTCGATCATACTCTAACCTACTCTACTCTACTCCTACTCTGCTCCTACTTGACCCTACTCTGCTTTAGTATCCTCTACTCTGGCCTACTCTCTTTCACTCTAGCAGGCCCGACTCTACTCCACCATTTTTCTACAGTGCGCGGCCCTGGAGCACCAGGGCGACGTCGAGCGGGAGGGCCTTCGGCTGCGGCGAGACTTGCGTGGACGACGGCCTGACGAGCGGCGAGCAGCTCGGGCAGGAGGCCCCAGAGGAGTTCGAGGTCGACGGGAGAGCCGAGGACAACGACGAGACCGGCGAGATGCCGCCGAGGGTGCCTATGCCCACGGCGGGGAAGAAGAGATTCAGGACGGAACGGGAGCAGGCGGCTGACGAGGCGCGCCCGGCGAAGTTCCCGCCGCGGAGCCAGAACGTGGCCCGGGCGGGGCCGCCGAGGCGGAGGCGAGGACCGAGGATTGAGCTCAGGGTTTCCCCCCCCCCCCCCCCCCCCCCGCGGCGTTCTGGTCGAGATTGCCGTGTCGCGAGGATATCAAGCGCGCGGTGCAGAGCCCGTCCGTAGGGGGGCACTTTCGAACCCCCTGCGCGTGGCAAGTCAACAAGAACAAGCAAGCCATGCCCTGCGGATAGCAGAGGGAGCCGTGCGGATACAGAGGGAGCCACACGGATAGCAGAGGAAGCCGTGCGGGTGCAGACGAAGCCATGCACACAGTTTGACGACGCAACGGGAAAGCAAGGGGAACACTGGACCAGTTCTCTACGCGTGGAGCTAGGACTCTTATAGGTAGCCTTATTTGGACAACATTGGCACGCCCCTCGGATTGTTTCGGGGCGCCCTGCGGTGAGGCTTCGGGCTGCGTGCAGACAGCCCCCCAGGCTGGCCTCAACAGGCCCCCCGAGTATTCCCGCTCGGCTTCAACAGTCCCCCCGAACGGCCGGGGGCGGTCCCAGCACCTCAACACCTGGACGCGGAGCGCCCCAGGAGCGCCGCCGGAGGCGGCGCCAGGGCTCGGAGGGGGCCTGTTGAGCCAGCGGGGGCTGCCCACGTCCCCTGGCACGCCCTCTGGGCCTTCACGCGCCCCCTGGGCCCTGAGACCGCCGTCAAGCAGGCGAACAGCGCACCCGGTGAACCCGTCGGGCCCAGGTTGGCGCCTGCCGAGGCCAGCCGGGACTGCCTGGGGGGCCGCCTGCGCGCAGCCCGGAGCCTTGCCAGCGACGCCCCCAGGCCAGGGACGCCCTCTGCGAGGCCCCCCTGGCGAGCACCCCGCCTCCCCCGCCTCGAGCGCGGCCGGCAGGAGCTCTGGAGCACCCACGCGGCCGCGCCGCCGGTGCCGTTCGCGAGCGCAGGGTTCGTTGGGGGGGGGGGTCGGTGCGGGCCAGGGGGCGCCCTCTGCGTGGCGCCCCCGGCGAGCGCTCCGCCTCTCCCACCTCGAGCGCGGCCGGCAGGAGCCACGCGGCCGCGCCGCCAGTGCCGTTCGCGAGCGCAGGGTTCGTCGGGGGGGGGTCGGTGTGGGCTATAGGGACGCCCTCTGCGTGGCGCCCCCGACGAGCGCTCCGCCTCTCCCGCCTCGAGCGCGGCCGGCAGGAGCTCTGGAGCACCCACGCGGCCGCGCCGCCGGTGCCGTTCGCGAGCGCAGGGTTCGCGGGGGGGGCGGCGGTACGATCGAAATGGGCACAGAAAGAGTGGGCACGGGGACGCTGACAGCATGTCCTGCTCATTTTGAACATGGCCCGCTGTCTGTGTCGAAGCGGGCGTTGTGCATTTGAGACAGACGGGCCGCCTGCCCTACAGTGGCCGTTGTCGGTTTTGGACAACATGTGTTGTTGGGCATCGTACCCATGTATTCCGTACACATCTCGGACGTCCAAAGGGGGGCAGGGGTTGCTCTCAGCGGAGGGCGACGAGCGGTGTCCGAAATGATCCCAGTAAAACATTGTTCTAGCAGCGAAGGTAAAAGGGCGGGTGGAGGAGTAGGAGGTCGAGACACGGCCATGTGCACTTCAGCGCATTGTTCCCCAACCCTCTTGCGTTGGGTTGTCATTTTCAATGGAGCACTTGGGTCGGGTCTCTTTACTCCTTTCCCACCAACCCCCTCATGCCCCGTACCTGCCTCCTGCCTAGTCTCCTCTCATCTCCCCCCTCTTGCCTCCGACCTCGCCATCCTTTTGGGGATGCGAAGTGTGAAAATGATACCACCTGCCAGGGCTGTTCGGGGGGGGTGGGGCGGCATACGCGGATTCTGATTAGATATCGCCATCCCTGGGGGGCTGCGGACTGCGAAACTGTCGCCGCTTTCGAAGGCTGCTGGAGGGGGCAGCATCGTCGGGGGCTACGCGGACTCCGGTCAGACCTCGCCATCCTTGGGGGGCTGCGAAGTGTGAAATCGTCACAACATGCGAGGGCTTCTAGAGGGGCCAGCATAGTCGGGGGCTACGTGGACTCAGACTCGACCTCGCCATCCCTAGGAGGCTGCGCAGTGTGAGACTGTGACCACTTTCCAAGGCTACTGCTGAGGGGTAGCATAGTCGGGGGCTACACGGATTCAGGTTAGACTCGCCATCCCTGTGGGGTGCGAAGTGTGGAACTCACCACGTTCGAGGGCTGCTGGGGGGTGGGTGCACAGCCGGGGGCTACGCAGATTCAGATTAGAGCTCGCCATCCCTGGGGGGGTGCGAAGTGTGAAACCGTCACCACGTTCGAGGGCTGCTGGGGGGGACCAGCATAGACTGGGGCTACGCGGACTCATGTTGGACCTCACAGTCCTTGGGAGGCTCTGAAGTGCGAAACTGTCTCCGCTTTCGAGGGTTGCTGGGTGCTTGGGGGGCAGCACAGTCGGGGGCTACGCGGATTCAGATTAGACCTCGCAGTCCTTGGCGGGCTGCGAAGTTTGAAACCGTCACCACTTTCGCGGTTTGCTGGGGGACATAAGGTAGCCAGTTGTGGGGGCAGCATCGTCGGGGCGACGTTGAGTCAGATGAGACCTCGCCAATCCCTGGGGGGCTGCGAAGTGTGGAATTGTCACCACTTTCGAGGGCTGCTGGGGGCAGCATACTCGGGGGATGCGCGGAGTCAGATGTCGACCTCGTCATCCCTGGGGGGTGCGAAGTGTGGGATCGAGGGGGGGCGGGGGCAGCGGAGCGACGTCAGACGCGGACTCGGATCTGATCTCGCCATCCACGGGGGGGGGGGGCTGCGAAGTGCGAAACGGCCGCCATTTTCGAGGGCTGCTGGGGGGGCCAGCGGAGTGACGTCTTAGTGTCGCCATCAAAAGGGGGGCCGTTACGTGTGGAACTGACACCACTTTCGAGGGCTGCCGAGGCGGGGCAGCTCAGCGCGGCGCTGTGCAGAGCAAAGCAGGGGTTCACCATCCTTGAGGAGGTGCCAGGTGTGATATTGCCGCCTCTTTAGAAGGTTCTTTGAGGGGGCAGCTAATTTCGGTGCTACTCAGGTAATTAAGAGCAGGATCTCGCCATCCTTGGGGGGCCTCCCTCTGTGTCCTTCTGTGGCTGTCTTATGAGTCGCGCGACGCGCGCGCATGTTTTGTGGCTAACACAACACATAATGGTTCCTGCAATTTCAACATCCATATTAATTAGGGCCAGCTTCTCTCGTCACTTGATGCACATGGGTTGGGTGCGTCGCGGAGTAATCAAGCCGGCATTGCGGCGAGAGCACGATTCCTTTACACTGTGCGGAAGTTTCAGGCGAAAGGGTTGCCGGACCAAACGACCTATAGGGCGGCGATCTCGGGTTGCCCGTCCCCCCTTTGCGGGGCTTTTCTGTAGCCTTTTGCTACTCGGGAAACATCGCGGCCGGTAGCTTTTTGTGGTTACTTTCTGGCTCCCGGGTGCACTCGACGGGCCCCGGGCCCGTCCAGCATGTGTCCACGAAGATGGGCTAAGGGCCACACTTTCGAGCGGGTGGTAATGAGGGAGACGTCTACAGTCGGACCGAGGCGTAAGATCGAGGTCCGTTCGGGAGGGTACCCTAGTGTACCCTAGTGTTCGTCGTGTTTGTTGGATGTTCTTGTGCACCTTGAGGAGGGTACTCTTGGATGTTCTGTGCGATTTGGCCGACGGAGGGTCTCATGTGCTTGAAGGCTGTTCTTCTGGCCCAGGTCCGATGGCAAACGGGGGTGGAGACAAGGACCCTCAAGGGACCTGTTTAGGGCCCTCTTCTTTACCCCCCATGTAGGTCCCCCCCGCCATTACCACACGCCCGAGACTTCTGGGGGTCCACGTTGCGAAAAAGCATCGCGGCGTTGGTGGTCGTTCCCTTCTTCATTGTTTCGCCGATCGGCGCGGGCCCTCGCACCCCCCCCATGGAGTAGATCTTGGCTGTCGTTGGCAGTAAGCAGAAGTCCGGAGCCAGACCCCCCCCCCTCCCCAGCGAAAGAAAGACGTACACGCACATGAATCCACGCTGGTTTCGAGAGCACGCATCGCGCGACTGCTCGTATCGTGCGGCCGGCCTCGCGGATCGAGGGGCCGTGTTCATGTACACAGTTGGGCGCGCACGTCCTTTGCGGGCTCCCCATCCCCCCTCGTCCGCCCAATGCCGAAACGCCGGATCGGAAAACGTTCACGTTCGGGGGAGGCGTCCCAGAGGGGGGGCGGTTGTCGGAGGAGGGTCAGCGGAGGCAGCGGCGGCGGCCTCGCCACGGTGCGTTCTCCGTGCTCTCGTGGGGGGGGGGGCCTGCTGGAGGCGGCCCGCCGCTGGCGACCGAGATCCCGCGTGGAGGAGCAGGTCCGTGGCATCGCTCGGACGTGTGCACTTTTTCTCGGCAAGGGATCGTTTTGTTTATATATGTGATTTCGCCGATCGGCGCAGGCCCTCGCACCCCCCCTTCCCCCCCCCCAAGGAGTAGATCTTGGCTGTTGTTGGCGCCTGTTTCGATCTCCCCCACAGGACGCACTGTTGCAAACAGTTGCGTTAAGTAGAGGGCCGGAGCCAGACCCTCCCCCCTCCCCCCTCCTTCATCCCAGTGTCGAGACGCCGAATAAGAAAGCGCCCACTTTCTCTCGGCAAGGACCGTCGAGGAGCAGCTGAGGTCAATTTGCGCAAAGTATACGCACGGAACCGAAAGATGTACGGGGAGCGGACGTCCGAGGTCGGTTCGGGGAGGATGCCCTAGTGTTCGTCGTGTCTGTTGGATGCTCTTCTGCATTCTGGGGAGGGTGCCCCGGGGTGTCCTGTGCGCCTTGGCTGGCGGAGGCTCTCGTGTTCTTGAGGGATCGTCTGTCCTAGGTTCGACAGTCGTGTTCCGTCGCTGGGGTCGCCTGCCTCAGGGCGGCGGGAAAATGGCTACCCGCACGGCGGCACGGCGGGGTGTAAACCTTCCAGCCCCGCTGGGACAGGCGTCCCCGATGGCGGAGCATATAATTCTTGCACACCGTTTCTTCGCCCGCTGATGTTCAGCAGGCGAAAGTCGCGGGTGTTCCCTCAGATCGTCGGCGTCAGAAGAAAAAACGCGGCGGCTGGTTTTGGATGTTTTCTGGTTGTGGGGGCCTTCGCCAGGGCCCAGGCGCAGGGCCGCGTACGATCCGAGTCCATGCGATTCGGTTCGCCGACTGGGGCCAGGATTCAGATTCCATTCGGTTATAGCCAGGCGAGGCGATCCGATTTCGATTCGATCCGTGACGATTCGTTAGCGATCCGATGTGTGCTTCTGGCCCGGTCCGATTTCGCGATTGGATCCAGCGCAAGCTCTGAGTGCGACGCCGGCAAAAGAGCTGCGTCTGCCGCAGCCCCGAGGAACACCGAAAACGAGACCGGCGGTCCGGCGGCGACGACTACGACGACGACAAATACCAACGCACCCACGGACTGCCTCACGGCGAACCACCACTGCTGATATATCCCGACACCTGCTTTGCCAGCCGAGACGGGGTACCCGCCAGAGCGGCACTCGCGCGCTAGCAGGGGTAGTCTTAAGTCGGGCCTGTCCCTCTACAGGAGGAGCTTGTTCAAAAATAGTTTAAAATAGTCTGGTGACGATTTGTTGAACATTTCTTGCTAATGTTTAGCACTTTTATGATATTTTCGATTTTTCGTCAAAATCCCCCTGTATGGGGACAGGCCCGACCTAAGGGTAGTCCGACGACGGCGGCGCCGACGGCGGTAGCGACGGCGGCGGCGGCGGCGGCGCCGACGACGGCGGCAGCGCCGACGTCTTGCCTTGCACCTGAGCGCCGGGCGGGCCGCAGGCGCCCGACGCGGGGATGTTTCTAGTCGGGGCCCGCGGCCCGCAGAAGTGCCGACCCCTTCCCCGCGGCCGGCGCCTCATCCCGAGTCTCGGGCGGGTGGTAATCCCAGACCCCCTGGACTCGTGACAAAATCACGACGGAAGTTGTTTCATTATTTTCGGCCTCTGGGGCCCTCGCCGTGCATCGGGACCGTCAGGAAGCGACGCAGGATGAAAAACCGGTCCTGGGGAATAGGACTGGACCTTTGGGGGTCGCGTCGTGAAAAAATCATGACGTCGGGGGTTTGGGAACGGATGGGCAGGATTGGGCATCCTCCTCCTCCTCCTCCTCCTCCCCCTCCTCCTCCTCCTCCTCCTCCTCCTCCTCCTCCTCCTCCTCCTCCTCCTCCTCCTCCTCCTCCTCCTCCTCCTCCTCCTCCCCCCCCTCCTGCAAACTGCTCGAAGCCTCCCCCCTGGGGCGACAGGTACGCCGCCCTCGCCGGGCCCGGCGCCGCCGCGCCGCCGCCCTGCCCGCTCTTCCTGGGCGTGCCGGCGCCCCGGCGGCCCTCCGCAGCGGTCGACGGCCGCCGGCGGCTGCCCACCTCGGCGGCCCTCGGCTGCCCTCGGCGGGCCCTCGGCGGCCGTCGGCGGCCCTCGGCGGCCCTCGGCGGCCGTCGGCGGCCGCCGTCGGCCGCCAGGCCCGCCTCGAGATCCTTGTCGTGGCGTGCTTGTTTTCCACCACCACCACCATAAGTAAGGAGGTGGAAGGGGGTCCTCCTCCTCCTCCTCCTCCTCCTCCTCCTCCTCCTCCTCCTCCTCCTCCACCTCCTTCCCCCCTCTAACATATGGTGGTGGTGGTGGTGGAAAACAGGCTCATCATGTCGGGGCGCGCTTCGGAGCAAGTCTTGTGGACGAATCCGAGGATGAGGGGGCCGTCGTCGCTTTGGAAGGGGGGAGGTGCAGGGAGACCCTTCAGCTCTCAGGTGAGAGGCGCAGAAGAATGGGTTCGACTGCGCCGACAATGGCGCATGAGCTACCCGCGCAAGGTCGCGCGTAAGCGCCCTCGTCTCCAGTGCGGCGTGCCGCGCTGGCGGCCCGCGTAGGCTACGGCGCAAGGTCGCTATGTCATCTCGCGTGAGACCAGTTTTGTGTTGCCGTCAGATTCGGGTAAAGCCAGGACCGAGGGTTAAGGGGAGCCGGTTAGTGATTGGGCCCCTGAGACCAAAATATGGACTGGAATCACTGAACCAGGTCTGCCGTATAGCTGGTGTTTTTCGGGTGACGGCAGTTCTGGTTAGTGGAATGGGGCGGGGGGGGGCGTTAACCCAGTACACATCACGAAACCAGGTCCCACTAAACCCAGTCCTGCCAACGCTCGACAGATGTTCTCGCTCTGCCCTCATCCGAAATTATCCTCATCCTGCCTTCGCAGGCCAGCCACAACTGGGGGAGCTGTGGTCCTTACCCCCCTGGGGGACCCATCGATTTCGACACCCCTCTCGAGAGATCGTCGATGCGATGGGTTCCCCCAGGGGGGCAAGGACCACAGCTCCCCCCAGTTAAGGCTGGTCGGCTTCGTCTTACGCCCCGCATTTCTCGGCCACCCGCGGGGGGCGCGGAGGGAGTCGCGCCTCGCGCCTCGCGGCCCGGGCCGCGAATGTGCCCTCGTCCAGGGCGGTGGGGCGAGGGCTGCGGAGGTGTGCACGCATCGCGGGGTGCGCGATGCACCAGGCCAGGTCTGGGAAGTCCCAAGAAGGGGCTTGCCTCCCAGACCCCCTCGAGTCATGAAAAACACGACAGGGTTTTTTTCGCTACTTGCCGCTTCTGGGGGCCCTCGCCGGGCCTGGGGACCGTCAAAAAACGACTCAGTATGAAAAACCGGTCCCGGGGAATGGGTCTGGACCTCTTGGGGTAGCGTCATGGAATTATCCCGGCAAAGCAACCTAACAGCGATGTGTAGAAGCATATCTGAAAGCATTCCCCTTAAGATTCAGATGAAAATCCAGTTGTAGAATTCTGCTGTTCTCGCAGTCGTAGTCGCATTCGCGATGACAGTCGCAGCGGCAACGGCAGTCGCAGTCACAGCCTCAGCCTCAGCCTGCCTCAGCCTCAGCCTCAGCCTGCCTCAGCCTCAGCCTGCCTCAGCCTCAGCCTCAGCCTGCTTCAGCCTCAGCCTCAGTCTGCCTTCAGCCTCGGCCTCAGCCTCAGCCTGCCTCAGCCTCAGCCTGCATCAGCCTCAGCCTCAGCCTCAGCCTGCCTCAGCATCAGCCTGCCTCAGCCTCAGCCTCAGCCTGCCTCAGCCTCAGCCTCAGTCTGCTTCAGCCTCAGCCTCAGTCTGCCTTCAGCCTCGGCCTCAGCCTCAGCCTGCCTCAGCCTCAGCCTGCCTCGGCCGCAGCATCAGCCTGCCTCAGCATTCAAAATGTGGCCCAGGAACGGAGTTCTGGGAACTAAAAGAACACGAAGTGGCCTACAGTTGGCTCCGGGCATTCAAAATGTGGCCCGGGAATGGAGTTCTGGGAACTTGAAGAGCACGAAGTGCCCTACAGTTGGCTCCGGGCATCCAAAATGTGGCCCAGGAATGAGGTTCTGGGAAGTCGAAGAGCACGAAGTGGCCTACAGTTGGCTCCGGGCATCCAAAATGTGGCCCGGGAATGGAGTTCTGGTAAGTCGAAGAGCACGAAGTGGCTTACAGTTGGCTCCGGGCATTCAGAATGTGGCCCGGGAATGGAGTTCTGGGAGGTCGAAGAGCACGAAGTGTGTGATTGTTTACGAAAAACGAGTGCGGCGGCAGCCGCGGCGGCAGCCTGTCCGGGTCCCGCCCCGACCCCCCTGAGGAGTCATGATGCTCTCTTTTGAGACCACTAGAAACCTATCAGCAAGAGCTGTTAGGTAAAAATCATGACGTCGGGGGCCTGGGCTTCGAGGATAGAAGGAGTTGTCATCTCTTCCGCGGCGGAAGTAAAACGAGGCCGCCGGCCGCCAGCGGAAGCCAGCAGGAGGGCGGCGGAAGGTGGCGGAAGTGAAAAAGGTGCCCCCAAGAGATGAAAACGTTTTTGGATTCAGGAGTTCCGAAATCCTCCAGGTGGCCTGGAGATTTATTCCATGCGCGGCTCCAGAGGTTACAGCCCTTCCCCCGGGTGGTATGGCAAGTTCGTGCGGCGTTGGCGCGCCGGCGACGCCGTCGAATACGTTCAAGGTTGAACTGCGCCCTTGCGGCACCGTTGCCCGCGCGGGAGCACCGCATGGTAGAACGCCGCGGAAGCACCGATGGACACGTTAGCGCCACAGAACCCGACGGACTTGAATTTTGGATGATCGGGGCCACGATCGATGCAAGGTTGAACAATCGACGTGGTGTGAAAACCTTTGCGCGCGCCGACGCCGCACGAACCTACCGTGTGTCCTTCACCCTATTTGACTTCATTCAGCATTCATTGAATGTTTCAATGTGATATTTCAACCTATCTAGTATGGGCCGTGATCGGGATGTGTATCCCTTGCTGGCCGTCCAGTGCCCCTACATAGATCTCAGCGAATTCAAGGAATTTGAGAACGGGAGGGCGGGAGGGTTGCAGCACCTCAGAGAGCAGTACGAGTACGAGCAGCACGGACGCTACCAGCGTGACATCGGTGAGCAGTACGGTTGCGAGCAGCAGCGCGAGTCTTGCCAGCATGACTGGGTCTAGCAGCGCGTCGGTGAGCAGTACTCGTGCGGTCATTTGGGATGCAATAGGACAGTTTACGGGGTCGGGGGCGCTGTTCCACTTGCGGGGTGGAGGCTTTGAGCCACGGGGGGGCGGCGCGTTCGAGGGATTCGTGATGCCTTTAGAAGTGCCTCCCCGGGGGAGTAGGAGCGAGGTGTTCGACCGGGGCGTGGCGGCGCGAGGTGGTGGCAGCTGTGGTGCGACTCCCCACCAGGACCGCCCAACTCCTTGTGCGCGGACCCCCATTGGGAGGGTTGGAAGGAATCGGGGCCAGAGCCACCGTAGGGCTCGGCTGCGGGCTGGGGGTCATCAGCTGCCACAGGGCGATGTCACCCAACCGCTCTAGAGGCCACCATAGGGCTTCCACCGACGACCGTGTGGGGGGGGGGGCGAGGACGGAAGGGAGGAGTTCGTGTAACTCACTGGTTGCGACCGCATCAGCAGCAACACGGCGACCTGGAAACCGCGACCATTGTGACAAGCACGATTTGGGCCAGCATTGCGTCGTTGAGCAGCGCGGGTGCGAACAGCACCACATGATGGAACAGCACCATTGTTACCATTGTTGTCAGCACGATTGGGGCTAGCAGCGCTGCGCTGTGCAGTACGAGTGCGCGTAGCAGCACGGGCGTTGCCATCACGATTGGGGCAGCAGCACCACGGCGACACTCAGCAGACCAGCACGATTGAGACTATGGGGGTGGGAGCTTTGAGCCACGTGAGGGGATGGGGAGGGAGGGGTCACCTTTTTCCAAAATCCCCGCCGCCCCAGGCATACATCCCTCCTCGAAGTCAAACGCAAGTTTTTCCCGCGACGTGGCCGTGCCCGAGGACCCCACAATTTCATTAATTATTTGCGTCGACGTGGCGATTGCGAACACAAGCATCTGACCCCGTGGGCCGCGTTTCGCGCGTCGATCCGCATGAAAAACTTGCGTTTGATTTCGGGGAGGCTTGTAGCACATGCGACGCGCGGCCCGCCCACCCAGCCCCCCCACCATAGGGGAGGGGATGCGAAGTCCCTGTGGGCAGGACGGGGCGGGCACCGCAGGGCACCATAATGAGGCTTGTCAAACACCAGAAAGATGGGCACCGTGGACCTGTCGCAACCAACGGAGGTGCACCATGTGGGGCGCACCAAAAGGGGCCTTGCTTCGAGGATCGAAGGAGTTGTCATCTTTTCCGCGGCGGAAGGTCGGCGGAACGTCGGCGGGAGTAAAACGAAGCCGCCTCCGCCGGCGGAAGCTCGGCGAAAGGCGGCGGCGGAAGTAAAAGATGCGCCCCCAAGAAATGAAAACGTGTTGGGGTTCAGGGTTTCTGGAATTGGACATACGTCCTCCACCCCGCACGGTTTCATTAAGCATTCATTGAGTTTTTCAATTTGATATTTCAACCTCTCTCCATGTCTGCTGGCCCCGGGGGGCCCGATAACGGGCCAGAGGCCAGAATGGAAGAAAAATGCCGCGATTGAAAGCAGAGCATGTCCTCGGAGGTCTGGGAATGTGCTCGATGCGCCACAGGAGGAGGGAACAGGCAGGGCCTCCTACGA